CCAGCAATCTTATCATTTAGTGGCATTTATACAGCAATTTCAGATTTTCCAAATGCTTCCCCTTCACTGGCTCTCTTTTCTCTCATTCTGTAAAGGAAGGAGCAGATACGGGCCACCAACCCCATTCACTTCCCAGAACCAAGCAGTCAGGGAGGAACCAGAACCTCACTGGTCTGGTAAAGGAATTCCGGGCAGGCTGGGGTCCTCAGGGCCTGGTAATAAGAAAAAAACATTGCCCTAGAAAGTCAAGAGATTTGGGTCCGAATCTCAGCTCCGCCACTGATTAGCTGATTCACATATTTGGGCAGATTTATTAACCTCTGGAACTGACATTTAATCTTTTTTCCCTCATCAGCAAAACAAAGGGTTTAACCTAACATGACCTCTGAGATCCCTTATAATTCTAAAATTTGATAACTTTATTTTATATATATTTTTAATCAGACATCCATGCAAGTTACTTTGATTCCTTCACCCCTCTGGAAAGACAATTTCCTAACATCTTTCTGTGATAAGAAAACGGTGAGTTGCAATAGACATATAGACCAATGGAACAGAGTTCAAAGCCCAGAAATAAGTTCATACACCTACAGTCAATTGATTTTCAAAAGATAACAAAATCAATCAATGAGGAAAGAACAGTCTCTTCAACAAATCACCCTGGGACAACCAGATATCCCCATGCAAAAGAGTGAAGTTGTACCCTTACTTGATACCATATAAAAATTAATGAAGAATTGATCATACACCTAAATATTAGTCCTAAAACTATAATCTCTTAGAAGAAAATACTTGTACATGAGTAAATCTTTGGGACCTTGGATTTGGCAATGGTTCCTTAGATATGACACCAAAAGCACAAACCACAAAACCAAAATCGGTGAATTAAAAATGTGCGTGCATCAGAGGACACCCTCAGGAAAGTGGAAGATAACCCATAGAATGGGAAAAAATATTTGCAAATCATGTTTCTAATAAGAGACTTACATCTAGAATATATAAAGAACTCTTACAACTCAGCAATTAAAAAAAAAACACAAACAACCCAATTTAAAAATGGGCAAAGAATTTAAATAGGCATTTCTCCAAAAATGATATACATGAAGAGTAGTTCAACATCATTAGTCATAAGGAAAATGCAAATCCAAACCACACTGAGACACTCCTTCATACACTAGGATAGCCAGATAATACCAAGTGTTGGCAAGGATGTGGAGAAGTTGGGGCCATCATACAGTGTGGGTGGAGGTGTAAAATAGTGCAGTTCCATCGGTAAACAGTTTACCATTCCCACAAAATGTTAAACATAGAGTTAACATATGGTCCAGCAATTCTACTCCTAGGTACTCCCAAGAGAAATGAAAACCATATGTCTACATAAAACTTGTGTATGAAGGTTTATAGCAGCAGTGTTAATAGCCAAGGATGGAAGCAAACCAGATGTCCGTCGACTGCTAAATGGATAAATAAAACGTGGTATATTCACACAACAAAATAGTATTCAGCCATAAAAAGAAAAGAAATACTGATCCATGGAGGAACCTTGAAAACTCATGCTAACTGAAAGAAGCTAGTCACAAAAGACCACATTTATATGAAATGCCCAGTTAGGTTAAATCCACAGACAGACAGTAGATTTGTGGCTGCCAGGGTGGGGGAAGGGCAAACACGGAGTGACAGCTAATGGATCCAGGGTTTCTTTGGAGGAGAATAAAAATGTTCTAAAACTAGATATTGGCAATAGTTGTACAACACTGTGAGTATATAAAAGTCACTAAATTGTGTACTTTAAAACTTAAGGATGGATGAGCCCGGAGAAACTTATGTTGAGTGAAATAAGCAAAGCACAGAAGGATAAATACCACATGTGCTCACTCATACATGGGAGCTAAGAGAGAAAGAAGGAAGGAGAGAAAGTGCACAGTGGTGCATTGGACTTGCAGAGGGAGAGAACATTCCTTGGGCTACAAAGTGGAGTGCGGGGGGTAGGGGGAGGGTGAGGAGGTTGGGTTGGGGACACAGGGTACAAATGCAATTTGTGGCAATGGGTTTGCTGCCAGTATGAATCTGGCCCTCACATCATGGGCATGCGGGGTGACAATCAGCTTTGTATCTCATGAATATTCATAACCAATAAAAATAAATAAATAAATAAGATATGAACATGTTAAACAATCAAAAAAAAACTTAAGGATGAATTTTATGGTAGGTAAATTACATCTCAATAAAGCCATTACCAAAAATGTTTCTATTCTTTGTCTTGCCTCCCAAGTTCTTATATAAACTCCTACTTCTCTGGTGCTTATAAAGGAGAATGGGGTCATGTGGTCAAATCCATTGCCTTTGATAGGCCAAGACTGAACCTATATCAGTGGTTGCCTGGTTTTGTCCCCCCCCAGAGACATTTGGCAATGTCTGGAGACAATTTGGGTTGTCACCACCAAGGAGGGAGGTGCTGTTGGTATCTAGTGGGTAGAAACATCCTACAATGCACAGAATAGCCCCCACAACAAAGAATTATTGAGCCCAAAATGTCAACAGTGGCAAGGTTAAGAAGGCCCAATCCACATCTATACACCACTCAATGGAGTGGGTATTTAATCCTCAATGCAATCTAGTTCTGCAAATATCTGAGCAGCCCGTACAAAGAGTGAACACTGGGCTAGGCTCTGGGGACACAGTGGGTCTAGAGGCACTAAAATGAGTGTCCTGAAGGAGGGGGCCTTGCCTATTTGGGTCATCACTGTATCCTTAGGTCTTGGCACACTGCCCAGCCATCACATAAACAGAGACAGGAATGAAGATGGTCCCCATCTCAGCCCCATAGGGCTCTCTGCCCAG